AAATCCGTTTCATGCATTTTCAAAACTGTGTTCTAAGGCAGTTTTTCTTGGTCATCGATAATCAGGAAGAGAGGCATAAAGAAATCTAGCTGAAATAAATTACAATCTTGCAAACTGTCATTCTCCTCTATGATTTCAATGGATCACTAGACAAGGTACGAATTTCAGCATTCTGATACATGTTACTTAACCAAAATTTCACGTAGAACACGATGCGCACAGCAAAAATTACCGAAATCAACTCCTTACGAAGATATTTAATGATTCTTGATGCGTAGATTCAAACCACCCGCTCATGAAAACTCAATGCTCTACGTGATTCGCATCGCGCACTAAACGTTATCATGACAGTATCTGCGATTTAAAAGTCTGGCAACCTCAATTTTGACGCTTTGGCTCAGCTATAGCAAATTGCTTATAGTTTGAACAACACATGGTGGGAAATGAACATTGCTCGTTTGAGAAGCTTGCTGAAACCGTTGTAGGGCGCGATTTGACTCACGTAGAGCTTTGAGTTTCTTGTGAGCGGGCAGTTCAAATTCCTCGTAACCAATGTGAATTAAAAACGTTAATATCTTCTTTAGGAGTTGGTTTCATTAGTTTTCGTTGTGCGAATCGTGTTCTACGTGAAATTCTGGTGAAGAAACATGTATCAGATTGCTTAAATTCGTACCTTGTCTAGTGGTCCATTGTGTTGAATAATTTTTTCGTGTATTTTTTTCTAAGTATGCAGTGAGCCAATGCTTTGTAACTTTTGAAATCGTACGCAGATGAAATGAAAATGATTAAACGTAAATGATTTGAAATATACTACAAGATTTTGAGACATTTTGCCTATTTAGGCTACGAAGTTAGGCTGCGCGTGCAACATTAAAAACCAAGTTTCCCTTTATATAAATGTTTATGCAATCTAAGCGACTCTGGAGTCAATTTAGTCGTGTCAAATGCATGTAACATTAACATTTTTATTCTGACTATTAATGCGGCTGTAATAAATCGAGTGAGATAGTTTTCTTTTTCTTGTTTTAATTTTTTGCTCAGTTTTAGATACATGAGCCTCAAAATAGTAGCATTTTTCATTTTTTTTTTCAAAGAAACTCTCATTTGCACTGGCTACTCAACGTGAAACTTGGATGAAAGCAAAGTGGAAGAAACGGAGGGTATCACTTTCGCGGTAGATGCCTTCGTAAACCGAATTTTTCAAAGCGCGATATCTCTGTTAATATTGAACTCATAGAGTTAAATTTGGACGGATTTGATTATTTTTAGCCGATCTATAAGAATCAAGCATCAAAACACGATTATGTGTCCATTGCAACTACGCCTCCTCACAGGGGGAACTCAATCTAGGATCCTCAGATGATGCTGTTCCAAATTCGCGGTGGAAGGCGATGGATAGTCCCTTCGTTGACCCCAAAGAGATACGGCTACATGCAGGATAGGGCTTCGTCGCTCCTTATCATCTCTTGAGTAGACAACGAAGTTTTACTGATCAGCTCGCTGTCCAGTTGTCCATTTTAGACAGAATCGGCAACGCTCAGAAGGACTTAGCATTACTCAACTATTATACACCGTTCGTGCATTAGAACTACTGCCTCCCCGGGTTCCGCGAATTGACCCGTAATTGTCATCGCTTCACCTGAATTTCGAGAAACCGGTGCTTGTTAGTCGAGCTTTCGGTTGTTTTTCCGTCCGCCCGGCGCTCGCCAAGTGAAAGGTCGCGGGCCCAACTTTGGTTCGGGGACCGTAATGAACCGAGCGGTGCCGCGGTACAATGAAACGTGACATGGTCCCAATTAAACAGAGCTGGTTCGACGCCAGCGACACCTGCTGCCTAGCCTCGGCGTTATGTGATGTTTGTTTAGGACACCTCGCTGAAATTAGCACAAGACAGATATCTGCAGGCAGGTCTGAGACATCTTAAATGAAGTGGGAAAACAGTAAAGTTCTGAAATTTTCTGCGCACTGATTGTTGAAATTTATAGAAAAAATGATAGACAAAGAAGACGTAAAGAGTATGAAGCGATTCCACTGGTTCATCTGGGTGGTTCTTATAGACCAAGGGAGAAAATGATAGGCTAACCATAGGGTTTCTCACGAGTTGCCCTTAGTTAGTCTATTACCGACCTCCTTTGTCCATTCCAGCCATTTGCTTCCAATAGTAGGATCCTCCCTCCATATCTCTTTTGTCTTTTTTGTCCATAGTTTTGTCTNGAAAATCTGAAAAGAGTTGGCTTATCTAGAGACAATTGCCCGTCGATAGCCGCAAAAATCATAAAAATCGGCTTTGTAGAACGCTGGAACTAAGCGTTACCAGTTTCGCAAAATTAGGAGGCTTGAGAGCTTATAGTATAGATGTTCAGATGTAATAATTATAACCCGGCTGATCCTGCTTGGTTGCGACAGTTAAATCAACGCCTGGAATGCCAGGATACAACTATTCGTACTCAATGGATGTCTGTGTTGCATACACCAACACTTGAAGGCGCTCGGGCTTTTTTCCCCGTTCAGCGAAGTATAGAGCTACTAGGGGGCCGTATTATACGGGATAGCGCTGCTGGACCCAGGAATAAAGTATTTAGGGGACCCTGCACAAGTTATTCAAGTGCTTTTCACAAGAGTATTTGGTATGATAATGGAGTATCATTGTTGTCATAGCTTACCGGCGGAAAGGAGTCAAAGACCACTCTTTTTAGCTGAATTTGGTTCGGGATCTCTGCAATCCAGTTCTGAATTACCGGCGCAAATACTGCGTTTCTGAGTGTATTTTAGACTTCTGTGATGTACTTGATGTGATACGTAGCTCGATTATCTTCTTAGCTTCTCGATTTTTAGCTGTAAAAAGTCTGCGTAGGTAGCTGATGTGTGTAACAACTTCACAATGCGCACAAGCACGGTTTTTCTTCGTTCCTCTTTACTCTTTAACATATAAGGCTAAAATTTAGCAACGGCGGGGGCGGCCCTTGACACGGTTGGGTGCGGGAGAAGTTAATAAGAGGAGCATGCGCGGCATCAAAGGATGTTTTCACGCGCGGCAAGCGTTGCTTACCGGCAGTTTTAATTTAAGGGCGCATGTTCCGTATTAGCCGGCGATGTTTCAGGGAAACAGGCAATCAGCCGGCTTCCGAGTATGGAAAATTAAAATTCACGCCCGTCAATGACTACCAAATGCAGCGCAGAGTGTCGTGTTCGCGCAAGGCGACGATGTGCGCTGTTGTGCGCTTGGCTCCTCAATTGGTTATCTCTCTTGTCCGCAACATAAAAATCCTAGTGTAAAATTTCGAAAAATTAAGAGGAACATAGAAATAGCTTTCCACGCTGAGTTTCTAGCGAGAACTTTACTGTCACATTGGCAACTTTGTTGATAGTTAAATTATCTCGGTTTCATTTCGAATCTTTGCGGTTACGGGCGCAGAGGTGAGAAAGGTCGCTGTTTTTCATTAAGTTTGTCAAATAAACGTCTTCATGCTCGACTGCTGCATGATTAAAATGTTGAAGGCTTCTTCGAGTCATGCTGAATGGTTCGTACACTCATAGGTTTTCCCAATTTTTCTCAGTATCTTATCCGTGTTGCTCAAATCAATCGTCAGATTCCTCCACTATCGGATATAATTTATTGGAAAAGCAATGGGCGGTAACACACTCTACCCGACCCGACGCGAAAATTCGCTTTAGATCAAGACGCGAATGAAACTTTCGGAAAAATTAGAAGAAAAATCTTCTTCAGTTTTCCCTTCTGAGGCCCATACGATGTTTCTCCTTCGCACGGCAGTGTTTTACACCGCGCTTAGCACTGAATAAACTCACGTTCTTGTCTTCCACCGCTCTCTCGATATCATGTCCAAACAAAAGCCCGAAGCCCAGGGCGGTCTATGATGTGCAGAACTGTCGCGTAGGGATACGAGCAACGTTGCCACGGCGTGCATAAATAGTACGATTTATCTTAGGACCGTTGGCTAAAGTTGGAAAACTTTTGGCTTCTCTGGATAAAAGAACCGGGCTCGGAACAAAGGACGAGTAGCGCTGCGCGCCGGGGGCGCCGATCGCCATCAAAGCATGTGAACTGGGCCGCAAGGCATTGCCAGATTTCGGTATTTTCCGTTAGAGTATTCTTCTATCAGGGGTTTTTGGGGGAGGTGTGGCAACGTCTGCGGGAGCCTTCACCCAGTTTCGGAAAGCGGACCGAATCGAATAAGGAAAAGCAAGTGTCGTGTCACCAAGGGCGATTTTCGCATGTTGCATTTCGCGAGCGGTGTTCCGCGCGCTGTCATCAATCGCGAGAATTTATGGAAACATTGACTCGGGATTTATCTCCGCCGTCTGCGGTGACAGCCCGGTTCAAGAGCTCCAGGTCGATCGCTGAATCGCGTTTATCGATATACCTATGTCAGAAATGCTGTTTATCAATCGAGGATTTCGATAACGATCCGATTTATCGATCCGCACGATACAGTGCTTACCTTCGAGAAAATGGCAACGCAACGGACGAAACACGTATCGAACAATATGTGTGATCTGATTTTTTACTTTCCTATCAACCATAGACTAACTTAGTGGCCACCGCATACTTGTGATACTTGACAAATTGATTTCGGATTGTTTCCATTTGAGCACTGAGCAGTGCTGAGGCTCAACCTTAAGTCCAGATTCTGTGTTGAGTTTATTGTATTTGTGCATTACGATTGTGCCATCATTAAATCACAGATCAAATATTATGGAATTTCGTGTTCTCAGCGCGCAGCATGTCAACAAAGTTGTTTTTCTGGTATAAATTCTTCGAGGCTCGTGGGGAAGAAGCCTGGCCGAACGCATGTGTTTGCGTAACAAGTGAAAAAATAAAATGATTTTTTTTCTTTGTGTTTGTTAAAAAATGTAGAAATTTCTGCAAAATTTCAATATTTTTCGAGTCGATACATACTTGGCATATCTGTTTTATTCTTTGTAATCTATATGTAGCTCTCTATTTTTACTCATTGCCTTTGTTTTCTTTTCCTTCCAAGACTCACCTCAGACTATGGAGAGCTTTGCAAGTACGATTTTTCCTTTACTTTAACTCGCATCCCGTTTCCTGCGTTTATGGCTTCTCTGTTTGTCGCTGCGACTGAATGCGTGATTATTATGCAATCGCATGAATATTCATTATCATCCTGCTCATCTTCGGATGACTTTTCGTGACGTAACATGGAGCTTTCCTTGCCCCCGCCTCCCCTTGTCTCCAAACGCCTCAACCTAATCACTTTTTCACGGAATGTAAAATAGTATGTGTCCCGTCGGAAGTTTCTCGCACTTACGTTCCTTCTCGCATTCACCATGAAAGCAGTTTAGCCGAATTGCATGCTGCGCTTCTCTTAATGGTCGATTTGCATGACCGAGAGGACGAACGAGAAAATAAAAAGAACCAAACGTTGCGTAATTGGTAGATTCTGACACCAGGATTCTTTTTTTAGTACCTTTTATTACTCTCTGTAACCTCTCGTTTTATGCGTTTAAGCGTTTCCGAATTAGCTGTCATCTCATCTGCTTCAGTCCTGCACTGTTTTTATGGGGACGCTCTGACTTATCCTCCCAAGCATAAGGCCTTTTTTTAGTAGGGCTGTAAAACCTTGACAAATTTTCAGGGGGCAAATTTGCAAAAAATTAGAAACTTCAATCGAAATGTCTGCCGCTAGAAAATATTTTTCTCGATTTTCTGAGTTGTTACAATTGGTCGAACGAAGATTTTGTTAAAGTGTTACGTTTGCGAGAAAAACACGAGAGCCTGTTCCTGTTTCGAGCTTTTACGTCAATTTTACAATTTACGGCAGGAATATCTCGGTTTTATGCATGTCAGAGATTAGGGAAATGGAACCCTGTAATCTAGAGACCAAGTATTACCTTTTCATTTTCACCTCCTCTTTTCTTTTCCTTCCTACATTTTTCTCGTGTGTACATCAGCTTAAGATCCTAAAGCTGCTTATATCCTAATTTTTAGAAGCTTTATATAATTTCTGCTGCGTTCTGTTTGTGTCCACCTTTTCGAATCAAAAATCCAGTTACTTGCTTTTTTTTTATTCCGTTCAATATTAATTTAATAATTCTTAGAAAAAGGACGTTAAGTTCACATTTATGCATTTTCACACTTCTTGAAATATTGTTGTCATGGGTTGCTCATTATATCACCAGTTTTAGTTTTTTTTAAACAAATTTCTTCAATGTGTTTTTTTATGCCTTTTTGATTTGAGATTTTGGTGAATGAATAGTATGATTTAACGTGACTTGATTTGAAGGGTATTCTAGTCGGTTATTTTTCAAAATGACAAATGAAGGGCTTGGAGGACAAGGGACATAAGTGCAGTTTTTGCTATTTCGAGAATTACGTGTTTGAAATTTCGAAATTACATGGATCTTATGGTGCCAAACTGACTTTTTGATGCTTGAAATTGGAATTTGAAGAGATTTTTCACGCCACATGCATTTAGACTAGTTTTACCTGAACTCATTAATACCTCAATTTTTTTAAAAACTGAAGTTATGTGCCTGGTCCTCCAAGCCTCTCAAATTTGAAACGAGTCCCTGAACAAGAAAAACAATAAATAGAACTAAGACATAAATTGTAACAAAGCTCATGTTTGATCAATTTTACAAAAATAGAACTGAAAACTGCAAGCAATGACTTTTAAAATTATTAAGATCAGCTTGAAACGGGTGCCTAAGTGTTTGTGTTAGGCGTCCTCCTTCCTTCCAGCCCCTAGAAATAAATAAAAATATATAACAAATTTAGCACAACGCACGCTGAGCTTGACCCCACTCTTTCCCGTAAAAATCCGTAACACAGCTTGATACTCATCTCCTTTAGAATTACGTGCTTTTTTTATGGACATGCTTACGTTGATTGACATTGATTTTCCTGGAGGATCCGGCCGACCAACTTCCCCCAAAACCCGGATCCTTTTTCCTCAATGCACGTAAAGTATAAATGCCTTTTGACGAATCCCTCTTTCCTCTTCCCGAGACAAGAGTTCATGATGACACAATTTGTCTGCGAATCTCAATGACCGGAGATTCCAAGAATCGTCATTCCAACGAGACCGCTCGTAAAACGTACGTATTCCTGCCAAACGGAACTAAGTGCATCAAGACATGAGCCCTGAGACGTATAAGAATACATGCACAACAGGGCTCACATCATAATGCGCTTAGTTCCGTTTGCCAGAAATACGTCCAAATATCAAGCCAAGAGACGCTCAGCATCGCTCCTAGTTATGTACTGCCGTGCTAAGGAAAAACGGCCTATGTACATCCAAATGTTGCCAAATTTTCTACGTGAAAAATTAAACGCTTCGAATGTCCTGTGGATATTAACCTTCACGATGTTCCGTAATTCCACCAGCAATTCCATCTTCTGCTTTTGAAAACTTGAGGGACAAATATTCACAGTCAGTATCAAAAATAAACATTTTTATCGCTGGAAATTTGGCAACGTTTAGATGCTCTTACGGCGTTCTTCAGAAAAAAAGTGCTCGTTATGCATCTCTGAGTTTACGGACCCGGTGCGAGCTTACATGTCGGTGGAGAAGCCATCAAACTACGTATCTTGGTTTGTGATGACGCAGATTTCCCATCACATTGAACTCTTGCAAAGGATGGTTAATTATAGTTATTAAAGGAACTTTTACGCGATTTTTAGTTCTTGATTCAAAATTATTCACTGTAAATTCCTAGCAAAAATGCCAAGCGAAACCCGTTTAAAAAATGTAAAAAGGAGCGGAAATTTTGAAACACCACAATGGAGATCCTTGCATCCGTTGTTTCACGGCGGATGTGGGTTAACGGCCTGGTCGTTGGATGTTGGCGGCTCAATCTGTCAAAATCAAGAAGTGGTACTGGCTATCAGCCTTCTCGCCAGTCCATCTTGGACACCGCGTTGCACTCTGATTTCCGAGTTTTGGCGACGGTTGAGATGGTCGTGTATGGCCACTTCGCGCCAGGTCATTTATCACTCGGTCCCATCGCGGTGTGAGAGGACGGCTGCCATCCATGCCGCCGTGGGCTTTTGTACTTGCACTTACACTGCAATTTTAAACGTTGTTTCATTGCTTCGCCGCTGGGTAGAAAAGTAATGATACTTCCTCTTTTTCGACGACTTTGATTTTATGTGTCTTTCAAATGTAACTGTTACGGATCAAAGTCAGAAACTAAAGAAATTGAGCGTTACAGTACTTTGGGTTTCCCATCAAAATTTCACGGTGAACACCGTCGGGCATTTCAAAAACTTCGGAAAACAACAATAAATGAGAAATGAACGTTTGTACTTTACATCATAAACTGCGAATTAAAACTTCCTGCTCATGAAAAAACTAAAATTGTCGTATGTCAAAATAAGCATTCAAATTAACCTATACATTTTGTAAATTGAGCTTGTTGATTTTACACACATTTTGCAAACCGACGTGCTGTTACTGAGCGAAGTTACGTTAATAGCGCCTGGATGCAACTATTCGTGTCTATTGGATATGCGTGTTGCTTGTAAAAAACTGAAGGCGTTTTGCTTTTCTTTTCCGCACAGCGCTAGGCGCGACGCGACGGGGCGTGCTGTTGCCCAGTGGTGAGGCGTGAATGATCGATTATCGATACTTCCCCATTTGAACTTGTGGTAAACAATCGATTATTAAGGTGTGTGTTGCGAACTCCCTGTTTATTGATCATTTTTCGTTGATTCAAATGGGTTATCAAGCCGTGAATCGCAAAGCAAGCCTCGTCACTGCTGCGTACCAGGCGAAGTTACTGTAACAGCGCCTGGATGCAACTATTCGTGTCTCTTGGATGAGCGGGTTGCTTGAAAAAAAGTGAAGGCGCGTTGCGTTTTTCCTGACACATATCCGGTAAAACCTATAATCGGCGCAGACCTATAAGGCATTGAAATCAAGCTATACGCAAGGCAAATAGCTAGCGCTTAGTTTCGAACACAATTCCTTACTCTTCTGATAAATGGTACTTTTAATGTCGTCAAAAAAAGTTGGTGCACAGGAAAATTCCTCTATCGTAAAATATACCGAAATATTTGGAAAGCGCTCGTTCAGACCCGAGTAGACTCCAGTTTTCTTTGTGTGCAGAAATTGTGAATTGACCTTGACAAACACTTTCATTCTCTTACCTACTAGTTGAACTGGGAAAATTTTAATGCGTCCATCGTATTTTATTAGTAATAGGTAGTACTACTAGGCACTGCTAAGTAGTAGCTCGTGCGTTTCTTGGGAGCCACGCGCGGGCGGATAAAGAAGTAGACGCTATCACGTACGATCGCGCAGCAGAAAGCCCACCGAACACTCTCAAGTTTCGACCATGACCGGTCATCGAAGCCGGAGATAATAGCGCTCCGTTGGTCGGTTACGCAACTGTCTTCTTTCGGCTGGAGGTGCCAAAAATCTTAATGGCGCCATTTAACAAGACTAAATTTTAATTCCTCTTCCGACTCCGGCGGTATTTACAAGTTCCGACTTCGTAAGTGACGAATGTCGTTTTCGGACCGACTTAAACTGCCTAATTATAAAGCTGTCATTTTTAAGCCATCCATGCGTGACATTAGTTCTCACTGGGAAAAAAAAACACATTGGATCTTGAGTCCAGACTCTTGAAAACATTGACAAGAAAAAATACTCTTGATTCAATCAGATTTTTGCTTAAATTAAAAGGAAACCCGCTCAAATTCAGAGGCTTGGTTTCTTATTTAAGCTTGATTCTGATTGAATCAAGAGTATTTTTTCTTGTCGATGTTTTTAAGAGTCTGGACTCTAGATCCAATGTGTTTTTTTTCTAGTGTAGTAGGGCCAGACATTGTAGCTCCTTTTACGCAAAATACATTCCAACTCATGAAGGTGTACAACTGACCCATCGATATACAGGATGTCCCGAAGTTTAATGCGAATATTGTCAGAATTCATTTTTGGGATCAAAATAAGAATTTTTTTGCTGCAACGTTCACCTAAAAACCCTCGCTTCAGAGTTACAGCGACTGAAAGCTTTGGCTAAAAATTCATTTTTCTTTGAATGTGAAGACAGTTATGAATTAAAATGCATGAAATTTACACATCTTCGTTCTTTTACACGCTGACCACATTCCTGACCTCAATGAAACCGAAATCATATTTCAATGGTGGTTTTGGGGGCGGGGTTACAACTCTGAAGGGGAAGGTTTGTTCGGAAAACATTGTAGAACAAACATTTCTTTTTTGATCCCGCAATTTGATTCAGGAAGTATTCACATTTAATTTGGGGTCGCCTGCTTCCAGTATAGAAGAGGTCGGACAGGAAATTTTTGGCAAAAATTTCAAATTTTGATGTTTATTTCGTCACAAATTTAATTTCAAGGGGTGTTTCTGGAAGGAACTTCATTGAAACAACCAATGGAACCACTCTTAAACTTTTTTGTTTTGTATTTCCTAAAATACAAGTTTTCAAAGTGTCCAGATTTTGTTCGACTTCTCCAATTTTTTTAGGAAGTTTTTGAGAGTTGCCAAATTTCCTCCGAAACTCTATTCATTTTTGAGGATAATTATGAATATTCATCCTTGAAATTTTCAGGAACTTTAGATGAAAATACGAACAAAATTCTCTGAAAAATTGGAAGAAAAATACTCATAAGTTTACCAGGGATTTCATGTTTTATCAAAGACAATTCGGCAACGCCTGAAGGTTCATACGGCGTTTTTCCTCAGCACGTCAGAGTAGAAGAGTAGAAATCTGTATGAAAGCTATGAAGATTTTTACTCATAATGTGGTTGGGTTTTGTTTGTTTCAGGCTCGGTTATGGGTGCAAGTGATCCGGGAGCTGAGGCACGGGGTGAAACTGAAAAAGGTGTCCTACAGCCGGACCCCGATCGAGTACGAGCTGACCCCGTACGAAATCCTCATGGACGACATCAGATCCCGGCGCTACAAGCTCAACAAAGTCATGGTCGACGGAAACATACCCCACCGCGTCCGCAAGGACGCCCACGCCATCATCCTAGAATTCATACGCTCCAGACCTCCTCTCAAAAAGGTGAGTCTCCTTCCTACCACCCTCTTATCTTAGAGAATCCTTATAGACGGAGTATGGCCAATACTGCCGTGATAGCGAAGAGAGCAGCAAGTACATTTCTATATGAGCCACGGTTAGAACATGCTTTTACGTGTCTCGGGGCTCATCCCAGCACGCACTTACTGCTCTCTTCGCTTTCACGGCAGAATAAAGGTTCCACTCGTGATTGCCTCAAGTCTGCCAAGGGGCTATTCAAGCATTACGGAACGCACTTAGGGGGAGGGGGGGTTTTAGTCAGCGTTACCCTGGTAAAAATTGACGATAGGAGCTGCGTTTCAAAATACCATAGGAGTTCTTATAGCCGACTGAAGAAGGCGATAGAAAATCATATAGCTGGCTGTAGAAAGTGGAAAAAAACACGAAGCGATAAAAAATTAAACAGCCGGGCTATAGTTCCTGTCGCCGGGCTTTACACTTTATCGCCTGGCTGTTGCTTTTTCGCCATCGGCTGTAAAAGGCTATAAGAAATTGCGTAGAAATTCGTGTGCTTTGTAAATCCTTAAGTTTGTACGGAATCACCATAATGTTTACAAAACGCACATTACATTTTCCTTTACTACATATTTGTTTTCATCAATTAAAATGAGAATAATCCATACAGAGTGTGCAAACATTTCAAAGTCATGAGTTGAACAACGCTGACTCCAAGAGATCAAATATTAGAGCCTAACACAAAGCGGAGCGGCGGCGCACTGGCGCCTACAAACCTAACAGGGATACTTCACGCATTGCGCAATGCGTGAAGTATCCCTGTTAGGTTTGTAGGCGCCAATGCGCGTTCCGCGCTGGCTGGCCGGCCGCTACGCCGCGCCGCGGCGTACCACGGCGCTTGAAGCAACTATTTCACACCAGAGGTATTGCACAGTATCGTACGAAATTGAATGCGATCCAACATATTAGAAATGGCAGGCGTCCTTCAAAAGTACGGAGCTTTCCTCGCAAAATAAATCAAGATACTACGGCCCAAAAAGGGAGCGGTAGTCCAAAAACTCACCAAGTCTTAGCATCCGTAATTAGTAACGTTTAGCATACACCTTATCGTCAGGCTGTTGCTTAGTCGCCATCGGCTATAAAAGGCTATAAGAAATTGTGTTGCCGGCTATAGAAGCTATTGAAAATCTTACAGTCGGCTGTAGGTCTATGGTATTTTGGAACACAGATTCTACTGCCAATTTTTACCAGGGTACGGCCCGTTACAAGGATGGAGAGGGGGGGGTCAAGCCCAGCGTTACGTAGCGAATGCTAGCCGATGGATGGGAGGGGGGGAAACTTTGAAAAAAAAAAACGTACAAAAAATTGTAACTCCCACCTTTCCGGAGTACATTTTTTGAAAATTGGGGAGAGGGCTCAGGCCTACCTAACCTAATTCAAAAGGGGGTTGCAGGGCTGCGTTACAGGTGCGTTACAAGGGGAAGGGGGCAAAAAACGGAAAAAGTGCGTTACGTAATATTAGAACAGCCCCACTGCCCCCACGCTATGGGCTTAGGATCCCAAAAAATGGAGAACCTCACATGCAAACGATTCAAAAACATACATTTTTTGTAGTTACTTTTTAATCTGAAGTCATAGGTAGCGTGACTCTGTGGCACAAGGCACTGACCCGTTTCAATGTAAATTTTCCAGCGAATGGAAAAGCAACTCAAAGTTCTTGGCCTCCTCAAGCACCGTCCAGATTCTGCTGGCTTGACCGGCGCTTATATTCGAGAATTTCTCTTCTTCGGTCATACTAATAAGCCGAGATATAATTGTTTAACGTAGAAGACTGAGAGTAGGACTAAGCGGTCAGTTAATTACGGTCATTGCGCTCCGATATAAAGCGCAGTTGCCAATGCAGCATCAAAAAAGCGAATCGAATCGGTGAATCGTGACGGCTCGTGGTGTTTTTCGGCGCGGTTTTGCAACAATGGATGCAAAAGAGAGCGAGAGTAATGGAGCGATAGAGAGTGCCATTAGCATGAAGATCTGCATTGTTTTGTCTCGTCTTCGGATCGTCTGGACGGACGCAATCATAGATACATCGCAGCCAAATCGGTTGAGTGAATCCGGAGTTCTTGTCCAAGAGAATTATTGATGCAAGAAGCACATTTCAATACTTCGGCAATAGATTTCACGAGACATCTATACTATAAGCTCCAAGACCTCCTAATTTTGCGAAACTGGTAACGCTTAGTTCCAGCGTTCTACCGGGCCGATTTTCATGATTTTTGCGGTTATCGACGGGCAATTGTCTCTAGATAAGCCAACTTTTTTCAGATTTCCAAAATATGGCCCAGGTTTTTTTATATTACGTGGTAAAGTTGCGAATTCTCCCATTTAAACAATGTAAATTTATACTTTTTGTCATAGTTCGTTTGAGCGTTCTACCGGGCCGATTTCCATGATTTTTGCGTAAATCGACAGGTAATAGGTCCTAGATGAGCCCGCTGTAATCAGATTTTGGAAAAAGGACCCAGGTTTTTTTTAAAATCACGTTATAAAAGTGAGTGAGTTCATAGAATGCTCCGGTACTGCTACCGCTATGCGCGGGAGGATGCGCAGTGGTCGAAGAGGTTGCGCAGTAGCTGTGTAGTCTGCGCATCAGCTCTACACTTATCTACACAAGATTCGCACCTGAAACACTCATGTCGAGCGGTGACCGAGTCGTCTAAGACGTCGAATGCGTCCACTTTGAACTCTGTGTAGGTTCGATCCCCGACTTATGAAATCTTAATTATTACCTGACTATCATTGTTCATTGTTTTACTGCAATATTTCATCAAGCAGTCATTCCAAAACGCGTCCTTTTAATTTTAAAGTAATTTTAAGTAAAGTTTAAAATTAAAGTATACCTCATATCGTAATTTTTTAGGGGAAAAATAAAACTAACACTGATAGGAGGGTAAAAATAGGGCCGCGAAGCGGCCCATTGATGTCGCGGAGCGCCTTCAGGGGGTTGGGCCGCGTAGCGGCCAGGGGGCGTAGCCCCCTAGTATTATGATATTAACGGAATCGTTTGAAAAAAACTGATAATAAACACTCAAAGTTGAAATTGTAGCACTGGCGCCGCGCGTGATTATACCAGACAGTCGCATTCAGTCAAATTCTTAATGGAGAGATGGAGCTGAAAGTATTCAGAATATTCGTGCAAAAAAAGTCGATGTTTTTGAAAGTTAAAAGAGGGAACCTATATGAGGCCTTATATGTAACAATGGCGGATGTGAAAAATTACCTTTTAGAAACACGCCTAAAAAACTGTTTTGTACACACAAAAATTTAATATCTTTGGCTCTGGCATAATGTACAGATCTAGAAAATCACATCTCAAGTATTTTCTCAAAATTTTCTCGATGCCAAAACAGTTTTTTGAATGTGTTTCGAAAAGGTAATTTTTCTCATCCGCTATTGTTACAGATAAGTCCTCATATGTTTAAGAGATGAATATAATTTTAGGACATGAGTTTAGAACCGCTGGGATTGGGCGAGGTTGGATGCTCATTGACTATCCTCAAACAATTCCTTTCATCTGAAAGACTCTCTATGGTTCACATTATGAACGGGACAGCTTTTATGAACCTCAGGTAAAATTTATCAGCATAAATTTGGAAATAGACCTTTGCAAGGAATTACAATTATTTGACACTGCGAAAAAACAAAAGTAGAAATACTATAGTATTTCTACTTTTGTCGGAATTGTATACAATTCCGACAAATCGTATAATATAGGTATGACATCTACCCTTAAATTTGTAAATTTTGCAATGTGTTTTCTGTTATATTTAACATTTTTTTGTGGTGGCAAATATCTGTAACCCCGCAAAAGGATCCAAATCCAAAGATATACTATTGGATTTGACTGGAGGTTTGTAAAAATTGTCCTTTTTATGTTGCTCTATATGAGGCATCGTAAGGGAAGAAGAAGGAAGGACGCTTATGTTTGGTACACTGAAAAAAAACTCGGGCCGTGGAAGCCGCACTTACGGACTATGTAGACGCACCGTCTGCGATCCGGGCTCAGAGGTCGGAAGTTCCGGGCGTAGCACCCGGAGCATTCGAAGATACGGCTCCAGCACCAGTAACTTTCGTCCTCTCAGCCTGCCGGACGGTATATCTATATAGCCGGTAACTTTTTTTTCAGTCTAACTAATGCAAACGAAATGGACTCAAACTGTAAAATTTCGAAAATTTTCCGGGGGGCAGCCTCCCGGGACCCCTTCCACCCCTTCCCCGTTGGGAGTGTCTTGATCCGCCTGTGAGTGACCCATTCTTCACGGAGATGAAAACCTCGTGCGTGGGACCCGAGGTTTAGGTCATATGGATCTTTGAAGTTTTCGGATTGAGCATCTAAACACTGTAGGTCTAGCTGTCGAGGTTCGGATCACACATCCGAAACTCCAGTTCTTACATCTAAAGTACTTCAGATGTGAGAACCGAAGTTTTTTGGATGTGAGAACCAAAGTTGTTCGGGTGTGAAAACTGAAGTAGTTCACATGTGAGAACCGAAGTTTTCCGGTTGTGAGAACCGAAGTTGTTCGGATTTGAAAACCGAAGCACTTCAAGTGTAAGAACTGAAGTTTCAGATGTGTGATCTGAACCTCAGCAGCTGGACCTAAAGTGTTCAGATGCTTAATCCGAAAACTTCAGAGATCCATATGACCTAAACTTCGGGTCCCACGGACGAAGTTTTTTTCTCCGTGTGCACCTCAATTTCACGATCCGAAAGTCGGGTTTGACAAAGCGACCAGTTGACGCGATACCGAATCCCGAACGTTGGGTTTTTGCGACCCGAGCTCCTTCCCGGCGCGGCGCACGAAGACGCTGACGCGGGGCCACCAAGCGGGTGCTCCACTTGCGCTTGAATGAATGAGCGTGCGAGCGTGCGCGCCGTGGGCCGGGAGCGCGGGGCGTCGGGTGCGCGCGTAGCCCAATCCGGTGCGCCTTGTCCCTGTCCCATGTCCCGTATCCGCGGCTCGCATTTTATTGCTTCCGATGCAAATGTTTTCCCGCGCTGACAGATT